TGAGTGCCGCGGGGCGAAGGCAAAGCTCGGTACACATCCCACACCCCCAACCCTCTGCTCCTGGGAAGAGAATCCCCCCTGCTCAGCTCGGCCGCTGAGCCCCGGGCGAGTTGTGTCACCCCCGACACCACCCGGTTCGTACTGCAGCGCCACAGGTGGGGTTGAGAACCAGGGGAGTAAAATACCCGGTGACAAATTATGTTATAAACCTGAACTACACCTCAATTTGAGTGGGTAGTAGTAGTTTTGAGTGGGTGGTTGTAGCTGTGTTTCCTCCAGCAGGGCTAGGAACATTTAGAGAAACGAATCAGTTTACACACAGACAGTTTTGGGCTTCTTCACCCCAAGAAGGAGCTTGAGGGGCTGGAGCGTGGCCAGAGAAGGGCAACGGAGCTGCTGGGGAAGGGTCTAGAGCCCAAGTGTGGGGAGGAGCAGCTGAGGGAGCTGGGGGTGCTGAGCCTGGAGCAAAGGAGGCTCAGGGGAGACCTTCTGGCTCTGCACAGCTCCTGACAGGAGCCTGGAGCCAGGGGGGGGTCGGGCTCTGCTCCCAAGGAACAAGCCACAGGACAAGAGGAAAGGGCCTCAAGTTGCCCCAGGGGAGGTTGAGGTTGTCCCTGAAGAACAATTTCTTGCCCTGGAGGGTTGCCCAGGGCTGTGCCAGGCTGCCCAGGGCAGTGGTAGAGTCCCCACCCCTGGAGGGGTTCCCAAGCCGTGGAGATGTGGTGTGAGGGACATGGGCCAGTGGGCACCTGGCACGTATGGGGGAATGGGTGGACTTGATGATCTTAAAGGTCTCTTCCAAGCAAAACAAATCTATGATTCTATGATTCTCTAAAAGCAGCCACAAAAATCCCAAGCTGATTTCAGGCTGGCTCTGTTGCCCATGCACTTGGTGACACAATACAGCTGGTGCCTCTGCAGCACAGCCAGCACTGGGCACCCCCACACTGCGGGTGCACGAAGACTAGTGGAGACTCTGACAATACCACATCTCTTGTTTCCCATCAAGACACCAACAGGGAGAGGAGATGCCATCAGAGAAAGCAAACAGGAGCAGAACTCCTGTTTTAGCAACGTGATGGCCAAGGCTGGGGCTGGCAGAGGCCTGTCCCTTTCCCCCAGGGCTCTGAGGAGGGGGAACGTACCGTCCGTCCCGCGAGCGGTGCAGGCTGCCGTGGTAGCTGCTCACTTTGCTGTGGACACTGCCTGCCTTGCTCCTCTGGTCGTCCAGCATGGCCAGCTGGGTGGAGGAGGCGTGGGTGGAGGTGCCCTGGGTGGAGGTGCCTCTGGACTTGCGGATGATGGGGGTGTTGGGGTCCCTCAGAAGAGACTGAGCGAAGTCTGGCTCCTGCAGCACTTGTCGGCTCTCGTTCACCACTCTGGAGAAGACAGGGGAGAGGAGTCGTTAGCATTAAGGACTGCAGCTAAAAGCAGTGCAGGAGCAACACAAACAGCACAGATGAACTTACAGCCTGGCAAATGAGACCATCTAGTTACACCATACTGGCCCCAACTCTGAAGCACGTCTATATTTGGATGTCTTAGCAAAGTTCCTGTTCCTGAACCCTTCTCACTCCCTGCAGCTGCTCCTCTACCTTCAGTGTGTGGGATAATTGCAGAGTATTTGCTCATGGTCTCAACTGGACAACAGCAGAATCACAAAATCACAAAATTCTTTGGGTTGGAAGAGACCTTTAAGATCAAACCCAACCATTAATCCTGCACTGCCAGGTCCCCACTGCCCCGTGTCCCTCACCCCACATCTCCACGGCTTGGAAACCCCTCCAGGGGTGGGGACTCCACCACTGCCCTGGGCAGCCTGGCACAGCCCTGGGCAACCCTCCAGGGCAAGAAATTGTTCCTCAGGGGCAACTGAAACCTCCCCTGGGGCAACTTGAGGCCCTTTCCTCTTGTCCTGTCCCTTGTCCCTTGGGAGCAGAGCCCGACCCCCCCCTGGCTCCAGGCTCCTGTCAGGAGCTGTGCAGAGCCAGAAGGTCTCCCCTGAGCCTCCTTTGCTCCAGGCTCAGCACCCCCAGCTCCCTCAGCTGCTCCTCACTTTGTTCCAGGAGACACCCTTGGGTCAGCACCATGACCCAGTGAGCTCCAATGACCCAGGGAACTGCCTCTCAGGGAACTCTGAAGCTGGTTCCACACTCAAATGAGCATGTAAAACCTGGATTAAAACTGGCAGCAGGAGGAGAACACCAGATGAAACACAGTACAGAGAACACCACAAAAGCAAGAGGCCTGCAGCCCTTAGAGCAGGGGATACAGTCTCACAGCTTCTCTGTTTGCTGAAGTCTCTTGCTGGGAAGGGCTGGTGGAGGGGCACACACTTGGCTGCTCTTCCATGGCATGGTGAAAGGAGGTGCTATCACAGCCTCGACATTCCTTTTGGGCTTTTTAATCTCTTTTTTTTGTGGGGAGGCCTTCTCCTCCCCTCCCATTCTCAGTATCACTCTTTCACGCTCCGTTTCCTCTGCCTGGTGATCTCTATCACAGCCTCGACATTCCTTTTGGGGTTTTTAATCTCTTTTTTTGTGGGGAGGCCTTTTCCTCCCCTCACATTCTCAGTATCACTCTTTCACACTCCGTTTCCTCTGCCTGCTGATCTCCCCCTCTCCATTTTCCTGCTCACAGAGATCACAGGCTGCCTGAGGAGGGAGGTTTGAATGGGCTCTGCCTCTTTCTGCTCACTGAATGGAGCCAGTGAAGGAGTTCAGATGGACACTGCTGAGTGTGGGAGCTCCTCCCCTGCTGAGCTGCACCAGGAGAGAGGATGGCACTTCCAGGAGCCACCCAGGAGAGAGCCTGTCCTGTAAAACAGCTTCCTCTGCCTGTGCCAACGCTATTCCTGCCCTCCACCCACCAAACCTGCATGTCACCTCTGTGTAAATCCCACCTAAATCTGCAGAGAAGGACCTGGGAGTGCTGGTGGACAACAAGTTGTCCCTGAGACCACAGTGACTGGCAGGACACAGGCTTGCATTTGGGAACCCCACAGGAAGACAATTCTGCTTTGCTAAGTGTCAGATAACCACACTTCAGCTATCAGTACAGGGCAGAGCTTGGCCTGCTAGACAGTGGCTCCACAGAGAAGGATCTGGGGCTCCTGGTGGGCAACAAGTTCACCATGGAATCTCCTTCTTTGCAGAGATTCCAAACCCACCTGGGCACCCTGCTGTAAGTGACCTGCTGGAGCAGAGGGTTGGACAAGATGATCTCCAGAGGTCCCTTCCAACCCCTACCATGCTGGGATCCCATGATTCTGAAACATCTACTTAGAAGACAGGAGTTATGATTATGAAAATAGCTCTTCATAGCTATTACAAGATCATAGAATCATTAAGGTTGGAAAAGTCCTCTAAGATCATTAACTCCAACCATCAAAGATCATCATAGATCATCTCTAAATATATGCTGCACCTTGGACTAAATTAATTTCAGCCTTACAGAAGCTATGAGAGGTTTCTGTTGCATTCCACCAAGCTGTGCTGTGGCACTAATGCATAGGGGAGGATTAAAAGCAGAGACAATTACTTTTAACTACAATCACAGTGAAGAGAACTTTGGTTTAATTTCAGTATAAAATCTGATTCAGCTGAATAGATAAACAAGTTTATAAATAAAAACTTTCAGTTCTGTCTCTCATGAAAAGGCAGAGAAGCTGTGCTATTCAACTGAAACCTAATTCTTGTTAAAAATAGATTTTGGAAACAGATGGAGCAATGTAGAATTGATTCTGGGACCAAAGGATAATTAATGGAAAAACAAGCCACAAGCCTTCAGGGTTTTTTTTGAGCTGTTGCTTGTCTTCTCCTTCCTTGCTGCATTTTGGGTAGTGGGAGTTTTTCTCTCTACTCCTGTCTTTGCCTCTGTGAACAGCTAACCAAAATTCTCTTCCAGCAGCACAAGGGAAGATTTGCCAGTCCCCCAGCAGCCCCTCCACCAGCTCCCAACACCTACTCTTTTTTCCTGCGCCCGTGGAAGAAGCTGGCCCACTCAAAACAGGTCTTTTTGCTTCCAACCCAGAAGACAGAGGGGATCCCAACGACCAAAGCCATCAGATACTTCATGAGGAAGAGAATCAAATCCGGGCGACTCATCTGAGTGACCTACAGAGAAAATAAAACCAGAGAAGGTGATGCAACCCATCGTAGTTCACATTTATTAACTCATTTGAAAGAACTGTCTCTGCCCTGAGCCAAAGTAAACACCAACAGGGTTCCTTTGTTTTGTGGCTCTGCAGAGCATGACCGAGTGTGTTCTACAGCCCACTGTTGAGCAACACAAAAGATTCAACTGCTGGGAGGTCTTGGCCTTTATTTGTATTTCTGGGCTTTTGTCTCTGCCCTGAATAATTGGGAAATATTTTCTGGTCTTCACATTATAAAGGCTTGTTGCTTTAATGGGATGAACCTATAGGAAGCCAGGTGCTACGTTTGCTGTTGGGAGGAGCCCCAGTGAAATGCTCTGTGGCACGTTCAGTGCTGGTCCAGGGCCAGGCTGGATGGGGCTTTGAGCAACCTGGTCTAGTGGGAGGTGTCCTGCCCACAGCAGGGGGTTGGAACTAGATGATCTTGAAGGTCCCTTCCAACCTAAACCACTGTATGATTTGATGATCCTTTATTCCTTACCCTTCAGTGGAGGGTTACACCCCTAATCTCCCTCCCTCAGGAATGTGAGGTGTCAGTAAGGAACAACTGCTTGACTCTTACTGACCTGGCACAGCCCCGACCTCTCCCTGTTCCCTCAGGGGCACCAACTGAATTTGCACAAGCTCACCAGGTCTAGTTTTGAAAACATTTTGATGTACAAAGGGTTTGTTTGGAAAAGATGGAGAGAAGATACAAAGCTATTATTTCCAGGAAGGTCTGTGAGGTTAAACAAACAGGCATCCAGATGCTCTCTTGAACTGATGACCCCGTTCAAACACTGAACCTTCAAGGACAGAGAACAAGTGCAAGCCTAGAAGATACCAGCCATCTTCTTACCAGAAGGATGGGAAAGGTTTTCCAACAAGGGGAAATTCCATTGACCTTCCAGTAAATTCTCCAGATCACAAACAGAAGTAAAGTAGGTACCTAACAGGATAGCAAAGACCCACAGATGGCTCAGGGATTAGTAGAGGAGGAAGGTTTGGGGCTGTTTAATCGTGGGGAGATGCTCATGGAGTTGGGTCTCTTTCCAGCAGGGATTAAGTGTCTGCAGCAACAGCTTTGAGACTGCTGGTGATGCAGCCAAGGGTTTGATGACAAACCATTACATTGAAGAATGCAACCTGGGTATCTACCAGCCTGTTTGAATGGGAAGAAGATACCAAACAAGGTGTTTGAAGCCAAGGGGACTTGGTTCTGTAAGAGTGAGACTGAAATACTTTGTACAGCTCTAGGAATTCAGTTTGAATCCATCTTCCTGGAGAGCAGAGGGGAATGGAGAAGGGCTGGCAGGGTGACAGGGAGCAGACAGCCTGTCTGGCAGGGAGCTTGTCTGGCCTCTGAAGACTTAAAAGCATGACAAAAAAAATAACATGAATCACAGAACTCCAGCGTGGTGGGTTTGGGAGGGACCTCTGGGGATCATCTCATCCCACCCCCTGCTCCAGCAGCTCACCCCCAGCAGGGTGCCCAGGGTCACAGCCAGGAGGGTTTGGGATCTCTCCAGAGCAGGAGACTCCACAGCCTCTCTGGGCAGCCTGGGCCAGGCTCTGCCACCCTCCCAGCAGAGAAGTTTCTCCTCCTGCTCAGGTGGCACCTCCTGGGTTCCAGTTGGTGCCCGTTGCCCCTTGTCCTGTCCCTGGCACCACTGAGCAGAGTCTGGCCCCAGCCTCTTGCCCCCCGGGGCCCTTTAGCTCTTGCTCAGCACTGCTCAGATCCCCTCTGAGGCTTCTCTGCTCCACCTCAGCAGCCCCAGGGCTCTCAGCCAAACATATGAAATATGGAGACACTGAACTGTGGGAAGATGACTTGCCAGAAGTAGGCTCATGGCCCATGACTTTCCAACCACATAATGCTGAGGGGCAGCACAGCTTCTGTATGGACCACTGAAATTACAGCCATCTTTTTTTTAATACTTTGCATCATTTAACATTTTTTTTTTAAATAATATCACCACTGCAGATGGAAAATGAGGATTTCAATGTCTTGCCCATAATCCCACAGTGCAGTGGGGCAGGCTGGAACATGACAAGAGTTCAGGCCCATCGATACTGGTCTTCAGCAACTACATTCTCATCCTGTAATTAAATCAACAAACATAATGAATATTATAAGATGTTTCTTAGCATTCAGCTCTGTATGAAGTGGGATCAAGGTTCTCCCCACGTCTGTTCTTTTCTCAGCACTGCTTCATGTGCTTTCATCAATCTCTGCCCCAGGAAAAACACTGACATTGAAGCTCTTTGTCTTGATGGACCAATGAAGGTTGAAGACTCTTTGGACTTTCCTATACCTGCAACTATTTACTCATGTGAAACGAGTCTGAAGGCTTTCCAGGTGGTTTTGTGGTCAACCTGTGAGATTCCTCTCAAGAAAAAAGTAGAAATTAACAATTACCAAATAAAAAAAATTATCCAACAGAATTAAGCTCTCAAAAATTACCTCATTTCATAACGTGCAACTGTGGCATCAAGTGGAATAAATGGTGAAATTCATCGTTTCTTAATGAAGGTAACATTCAGGTGAATTTTCATATTTACATATTTACAATTCTCCCCTGGCATAACTACCAGCCTGAAGGGAATTTAATTTTGATTCTTGCATGAAGAAGAAACCAACAGTTCTAGCACTAAACTCTCAGTTGCTCATGGTACTACAGGACATCTTTATTTTATTGACTGAGTCATGCTGCCTTGTGCTAGAGCCAACAGAAATCAGGTGCTGTGATGTCTGCTGCTCCCCACACCAAATATATCACAGGTCCCTCTTGCACCACGCAGATTTTATTACTTCCATGAAGATATTACAGGAAATCACTTGATATCAAAACTTCTGGCTCAACCTATTCATGCTGGGTGCCATAAATAATTCCAAGTGGAAGTTAAAATAACTCAATATCACAAAGAGTTGCAAGTGAAAGGAAGGACATCCTGCTCTTTGGTAAAGGAGGTTTTAAGCATCATTTCCACACATTTCTTGAAAATCAGCCTCTTTGCACAGATTAAGCAATTCTAGTAACATATTAATTAGATCACTGAGACTGAGGTGACTGCACCTCTTTTAAACAACACATATAATAACTAACATGGGAAAAATCCAACTTGAAATTTCTAGATGAAAGCTGAAAATCCATGGTTTTGAACCCAGAGCCTCCAAGCCCATTTCCCAGAAGTGTGGCCCTCAAACCACTGCTGTTCCCTTTCCTTTGGACAGAGAGGAGTTAATTTTCCCTTTTTCTATACTGCCCAGCTATTTAGGAAGAGTAAATCAAAAATACAATGCTGAAGTGTCACAGACTTTTACATGCTTAGATAAATCCACAATATATAAAAGCATAATTTGACCTGGAATACACAAACTTCACACACTCTGCTTTACTCAAACACAAAGATTTTCCCAAAGCATCTGCTAACAGGATCTGCTTTGCCAGTTCTGGAAATATTGCTCCTTATTTATAGTAAATCCCCGACGACAGCGCGTATAATGTTGAAACTGCTTCAGCAGCACTCCTATTTTAAAACCATTTTTCATATCCCCTCAGCTTCCAAAGCTCAGCTTGCCTACGACTCTTTATGTCTCCTGCTGAGAAATTCCAGGTAACCAGGATTACTGTGGCACGTGTGGAGCAGCCAAAGCAACAACAGCAGCAATTCCAGCACTACAAAATCACTCTCTTCCTTTTCTTGAGGATCTCATTGTGCAGCACCCAAACTCTTCCAGAAGTGTCCACCTCCAACGTGTGAAACCTCAATAATTTTCTGGGGGAGGACTAGGAAAAAAGCTTCTAAAATAAGCAGCATCTTCATTTTTATGACTTGGCTCTGTTGGATGATTAAAAGAGGAGACACAAGGCTTTGCTGAACTCCAGGTTTCTTTAAAACCATATGACATCTCCATGTGTAACCATCTTTGAAGACAACAGTGAAAGCTGGAGAAGATCCCCAGTTTCATCTCCTTGGAGAGAGAAGATGATGCAGGGAATATCTAACATGGGCCTGTAGAGGACCATCCTCCCTTGCCTGCAGAGATTATACTTCTCTTCTCCAGCCTGTTAGCTCAGCTTTGTCTGATTCTTTGCAGAAAGCCTTTTGAAATTTGAGGCAAGAGAGAAGTCACTCAAATTCTGGGTATAGCAGAAATGAAGAAAAATAGGGAGACTGATTAGACACTCAGAGCTCCAATGCTGTCCATGCCTATGTAATAATAATAATGCCACTTGATGTACTTTCCAACCCTGTTTTTAAAAATTCAGAATATGAGCAAGTATGTTTAAGCTTAAACAACTGCAAATTTCTTTAAGCACTAATTAGGACTATATAGCTCCTGAAAAATGAAAATATTGTCCCTGCTCAGTGCAGGGGGGTTGGACTAGATGACTTTGAAAGGTGCCTTCCCACCCAAACCATTCTGTGATTCTATGATACAGGGAAACATCTACAGAGGCAGTATGTGTTTATTGTTCTTTCTAACAGAAATACTTCAATGTTGAGTGAAAAAGGGTTGTAATTTCAATGAAGTTGTAATTTCAAATGAAGTGCAGTGGAATATACAATTTGGAAACTGATAGATGGCAAGAAGATGAGTTTTTCTTTTCAAATTGTATTCTCAGAGAAAATCTCTCTCCACTGAGAAGTTTTGAATGAAATTGTGGCAGCTCTTTTACAAGACTAGCAAAAAAATGGGTGAACTTCCACCCTGCTCGACACATACATCAGAGTTTATTTCAGAAACGTCCCCAAAAGCTGAACTACTGACAGAACTGAAAGGAGGAAAAGAAACTGAAATGCAGTGAGGAGGAATTTAAAATGTATTTTCATCTCTCATTTTTCTGCAAACCCCTTCACAGCATATATAATATATATATAACATATAACAAATACTGTGCTAACAAGGAGTAAAAAATCACTCGTGTGGACTCTGTGCAGAATTTCATCTTCTTTTATAGAATAACAATGCAA